GGTGCGTGATTGCAGAGCTGAGACAGGTACGTGCGAAGCCAACCTCTCCCAGATCCACCAGAGGGAGACCTAAACCAGCCTTTACCTGGGTCCAGAGGGGGGGACTCTGACAGTGAGCACTGTGTAACGATCTTGTTGCCTTCATTGAAAAGTGAGTCAGAATTGCCTCAGATCCACTTTTTGGCAACATCCAGGAGCTACAACCCACCAACTTGAAGGTCACACATGTTATTCACATGAGCAAAGACTGCAGGAGGCGCTTGGATGGCAATGTGAAAGCACCCAGGAGTCCTTCATCTAGAGCGGCCAGAAAAAGGAACAACCATAACATTCAAAAAGGGAAATTCTGTGTAACCCAATAATCGCTGTGTCGCAGAGCAGCGTCTTCGAAGCCTGGAAAAATACCCTAAAAATAATGATTCAACATGAAAATGATTCAACACATTAGTTGACCCTCTCTGGGAACCGTCACCGTATCGTGGGGGAGAGGTTTGTGTGTCCCTATGACCCTGAGGGCTGTGTTGTCGGGAGCCTTGTGCTCCCTTAGGAGCCAGGCCCAGATGGAGGGCCCGACAGCGAGCGTCTGGTGGCCGGGTTTACCGCGGAGCCCGGCCGGGCACAGCCCGAAGGAGTGACGCGACAGCCCAAGACTCTACTCCCCGTGGGCTCACCCCCTGTGGGGAAACCGATGGGGTCGGGTGAAATAGAACGTCTGAATTGAGCAAAGAATTGAGAAGCTGCCCTAAAATATGGCTTTAAAGTGGAACTAACATGGACACAATCAGTGGTAAGTAACTTTGTTTGTTTTTTAAATGAAATGAATAAAACAAGATGAATACAACAATGGTTGCAAATGAACCCTGAAAACCATATGAAAAATCACAACATTGAATATATTGTAATACCAGATAAATAACCATGGATACAGTTAAATATAATTAACTATATGGTTTAAATCCACGTAGACGTGAACACGTTGATTCTGCGTCTCCCTGAACTCTGCGTTCACGGAAGACAACAATGCGTGTAAAATAAATATCAGAGCCAAGAGCAACGGGGTGCGTGTAGTCAACTACTGGTGCTGCCACATTCCGCCGGACCAGGATAAGTCATTTATATTAATTAATGAACTTTCTCCTTTTCGACGAGGGCGTCACTCCAGGCCGCAGACCCTTGAAAATGACTGTGTCCCCCAGTCGGCCGGACCGTCCGCCCCCCACTCATGATTTTAATGGTCTGGCCCAAACCTATAATGAGTTTGACACCCTTGATTTACACTATGAGGTGTTGTTAACATTTAAGGTCTTCAGAGCGACTTCCATCGCCGTGATCAGTGATTTAAAAACACAGTATAACAACAAGTGTTGTGTTTGCATTGTGTTCTCATGTTGGGTCTCTGAGTGTGAAGCTGGATCTTCTCCTCTGGTTCTGCAGGTCCAGACGCTGGTGCAAGAAGGTCCTCGAGCGGGAGCTTCCCTCCATCTGGATCCTGAAGAAGTCCCGGGTTCTGCGTGGAGGTCCCTGATCTGTGGGAGAACTTCCTCCTGCTCAGTGACAACCTTCATCTGTTAAACTGCTCCACAGGTCCAGTGAAGGACTTTAATGGATCCTCTAACTGAAATATGATGTTCATAACCATGTTTTCATCACGAAGACATCTGTTTGTTTAAAGAAGCTCTTCATATTTCCACCTGGAGCCTTTGTTCATCTCCACAAGAACATATTTATCCACATGTTAACAGGAGGACGTCACACTGAATTATTACAGAGAATGAAGAGACGTTTATGCTGCTTACAGGTTCATCAAGATGATCTTCACATATTAACAACACTTTTATGATGTTTCCTTTTAGCAGAAGAAAGACGTTAACATTAAAGCAGCTTCTTGTTCTGCAGCTCATGCACACTAATGACGTAGAGAGGAAGGAAGCTCTGCTGGGGATGAACAGCAGCTTGTTACCAACTCCAGAAGAGACGAGCTGACCTCAGAGACATCAGCCTCCTCTTTAATGTAGACGTGTTTCTGGTGACTTACTGAATAAAGAGTTTCTGATCTGCTGATTGAACACAGAGGAGCAGCTATGAGTCCATCAGCCGGTGGATTAGTCGTCTTCCTTCTCTCTGTACAAGGTACTGTACTTCTACATTTATATTGTGAGGCCGTTACACACCTCACACACACACAGGGAGCTGTGTTGTTACTTCACACACAGGTCTGATGTCATCACACACAAATAATGACTAAATGAACATTAACAAAGAAGAAATGCTCTGAATAATTTGTCTCTGTTGAACTTCCTCTAATCGTTCAGCAGCGTTTCTTTGCATTAGACCACATTTAGAGGCTGTTATTCACTCCGAGTCTCTGACGACGTTTGTTCTCCTTTTTGGAGCATTTTATTGTGTATTTGTGGTCATTTTTATTCTCTTCCTGGTTGTTGAGTCTCTTGTTGAATGTCGGATCGCGCCCATCGTGTCTGACGTCTTTGCGCTTCCTCCCGACAACAAAGTTCTGTGTTTGTATTTTTGCTAGTTTTATTTATTTTAAATGTAAAGTTTGCAGATGCAGCAGTGACAAAGCTCACCACGAGCTCACTTATAGCTTAACAGAGTTCCTCTTCCTGCTCCGTGGAGACCGAGCCGAAGGCCGCAGATCACCGGCTGTGGGTGCCGAGCGCAGTCGACGCACAGAGCGGCACAAGAGAGACGCTACTAGTGAGGCCAACGCGTTCATTAGGGAACTTGCTCAAGACGGGCAATTTTTTTGTTAAAAGTTGCTAAATGGCGTTGTGATGTCATTGCGTAATAACGTGACACTGCGTCATTACGTAGAATACAAAATAACGTTACTCAGATTGTCAATCTTGGTAAAAAATATGATTTTAGTTATCTGTTATTACATATTTTTATTTGTAGAAGTAATATAAACACAACATATTTTATGTGATCGGATGTTGAATTATTGAACAATTCTAGTTTCAAGCAGTCTATTGGTAGTTAATTAACATACTACCAAACTGACCAACAATTACAGATACAAGCTAATAATAAAGTGCAGTTGCTTGAACAAGCAACTTAACTTAAATAACGATGTGTGCACTCCGACGTTTGATTCTTCCCGCACACCCAACATCAGTCCACTGGACCGGGTCTTAAAGGCTACGACGTTTTTGACACGGGAACTAAAGCGTGAGTTTCTTAAAGCCATCACCAGTCCAAGTGCTGAGCGCCGTGTCCTCAGTGAGGTGTGATCTATATGTCACAGTATCGTTCCCCTCAGAGTTCTGCATTTCTCTACAGTTTCCATCTCCACTCTGCAGCAGACTGACCACAGACAGAAGAGCACAGAGCAAAGACACTCTTCTTCTCATCAACCAAACCCTTCTAATACTTCAACTTGAGCTTTTTCAGGTCCACAGGTTCAATACGTCGCTGTTCCTTCCAGCTGCAGAGTCCATGTGGACATCGTGGACTCTTTCATTACTTTCTATAAACTCAATGATTTTCATATTTCTCATAATATCTTTTCTCTTCAGTAAACTACCAATGAGAGTGTGTCCTGTGATGTTGTTCTGAGTGTGACTGTGGTTCCTGATGTGCTGTGTTACAGTGATACAGAGTCAGGATGGATGGAGAGTGAATTACCGTGAGACTGACGTCTGTGCTGCAAAAGGATCAACAGTGGATATAAGCTGTGACATCACACACCCACCTGGAATAGATCCCTCTGATATAAAGGACAGATTCTGGTTCACTAAAGAGAAAGATGGTGAACCTGTGGATCTGAAAACAGACTCTGAGTATTCAGGCCGTGTGACGTACAGATGTTTTAGTAAGGAATGTTATCTGATCATCACAGACGTGAGAGAGAGCGACTCAGCTGAGTACAAATTCACATTCATGACAAACAAATCAGGAGAGAAATATACTGTTTCACCTGGAGTCACTTTGTCTGTCACAGGTAACATTTTAATTCACATATTAATCATCTACAAATGTTCAACATCTAGAAAACTAGAGTATAAATGTCTTCTGTGAATGTTGACACTTTAATAAATAATATTCACTGATTCAGGTCTCCAGGTGCAGGTGAGAAGATCAGATTCTACCTGGTTGGAGCTGACGTGTCACAGCAGCTGTGTTCTGTCTGATCGTGCTGAATACGTCTGGTACAAGAATGAAGAGAACATCAAGAGAGGATCTTCTCTTCTAGTCTCCTCTGGTTCTACAGACAGATATTCCTGTTATTTAAGAGGATCTACTGGTCAACGTTCTCCTGCAGTGTGTAAGTTCACTCCACTGTGTCGGCCTGTGGAGCTTCAACAACATCTCACATGGAGGCACCAGACCGCTGCATGTAAACTAGAGGCATCAAAAAGATGAAGCACAACGTTCCTCAGGAGGTGGAGCCGTGGTCCACTGACCAGAGGGTTGCTGGTTCAATCCCCGGCCCCTGCAGTCTACGTGTAGAAGAGTCACTCACACACTGACACAACAATATGATTCTAATCACAGCTGTAAACACGCTGGAGTCTAAATGTTAAAGGAGACACAGATCTTTATTTATGTCATTCTCTTATTAATAGAAACACAAATATAAACCATCAGCAGACAGAATAATGTGATTTTCATAAAGACTCAAGTGAATTATTCCAGAACATAAGTAGAAGTGACGTGTCAGCTGGTGGAGGAAACAATCAATAACTCCGACAACAACTAGAAGTGACGCTAGTCACTACGCTAACATCTTCTAACCTCTTAGTATGTTTATTCACGTCTCCTCCAGATGGTCCACAGCGTCCCTCTGTGTCAGCGAGTCCCTCTGCTGAGATGCTGGAGGGCGATTCAGTGACTCTGACCTGTAGCGCTGATGCTAACCCAGCAGCTAACTACACCTGGTACAAGGAGCATGAAGACTCACCACGAGCATCAGGACAGATCTTCACCATCACTGACTTCACAGCTGAACACAGTGGGAATTATTACTGTGAAGCCCAGAACGAGATGGGACGTAGTAACTCCACCTTACTTCTGATTACTTCTTCAGGTAAATCACACGCATTGGCAGTGGCGGCAGAATATATATACATATGTTTGTGTGTGTGTGCGCATAGATATACATATAAACATACAGTACATACAAACACATGTGTTTATATATATATATATATATGTGTATATATATATATATATATATATATATATATATATATATATATATATATATATATATATATATATATGTCAACACGGGGTTTGATGCTGCGCCATCTCATCAAATGATAGAATGAACAAGAAGAGTTACATCACTCAACAATCAAGAGTTGTTTTGAAGACATTCTACTCATATTTACTTTGAGTTAAAGTTCATCATCTGCATAGAGCAGATCTTAAGGTCCCAGATATTCTTTTTCACTTGAGTTAAACATCTTATTTTCGTCCTGTTGGTCACTCCTTAATTCATCCTACACGTTTAATAGTTCATATTTGTGGTTTGTTTTCTTCCCGTGTAGGAAAAGGAGGCTCCACAGCAGCTCTTGTGTCCATATCAGTTATTTCCCTGGTGATCATGATCCTCACTGTCCTCTTCATCTGGTGAGCGGTTCAGCTCCACTGTGATGAAATGCAGATGTGGATGTTACATTCACGCAGTCGTTGAATCACTTGATTTGATTTGATTATTTATTCTTCTGTCCAGAAGAAAAAGGTCCTCACGAAGCTTTTTCCCGGGAAAGAGATCAGACAACTGCTGAGGTGACATTCATCATTTTATATATAACTTAATGTCGATAGATTAAAAACAATAACTAATTAATCGCTCGTTTTGAAATGTATTAATCCCGATTAATGAATGATGTTGTTGCCATACAAAGTTTAGATATTTTCATCTCGTTCATCTCCAAAAGGCCAGACTATATCGCAATGTGGCCATCGGGGGGGTTGTGGTTATTTGGGGGAGATGGTTGGCAGTCGCTCTGCACTCGACCGACCCACCAGCTTCCAATTTAAATAGAACATTTGTTTCTACACGAGAGAGAAAGTCGACCTTCACTGAGAGGGGAGAGCAAACACGAGTTCACAGCCTCAGGTCTTCATGGATTAATATGAAGAGGAAAATAATAGTGACCCATTTGAAGATGGTGAAGTGTGTCTACAATAATGTTTTGTAATGTGACGTAATAATTATTCAAAACGTAAGCTGATTTTGAAGTCAGTGCCTCTGTGGTGGGACAGGTGAAAAACAAACTAAATCAATAAATAGTTGTTTGTTTTGTTTGTGTAATGGTAATTTTTCATTGTGAAACATACAAACATGCACATTGTGTAAATAATGAATGGTGTTCATGTTTCATTGATATATGCAGTAAATATATGGCTAATAAGGATCTTTGGTGTTTGGGTTATTTTTGAGCCTGGCGCTCTTTAGACGTGAGCATGAAAGGATCTGATTGGCTGGTCTGTGACGTCGTATCAGCATGAATGGATCTGATTGGCTGGTCTGTGACGTATCAGCATGAATGGATCTGATTGGCTGGTCTGTGACGTATCAGCATGAATGGATCTGATTGGCTGTGACGTATCAGCATGAGAGGAGCTGTGAGTGAACCGGTGCCCAGTGAGAGCTGCTGGTAGCTGAATGTTTGTGTCGCATCAGTTCATCCGTTCGCTACAATTTGTTGCATTCATGTTAATGTGTATTTAAAGACAATAAATACAATTCTGGTTCTGAAGACATTTCAATTTGAGGGGAAAAAAAATGGTTGAAAACAAATTAAAACAATATTTAAAAAGTGTCATCAACCAAAGATTTCGCGCCGCCCCCCAGTTGATGACCTATCCATTTAATTAATAGAATAGAAGAATGATTCCAATCTCTTGGTTGAGCGTGTGGATGTTTAGTGATTATGTGTCACAAAGAAATATCTGCGCACTGCTAACACCCAACAGGAATAATGAGCGGTAACTACAGCTAACTATGGGTGGACATCCCTTTAGCCACACCCGTCCCAGCCCCTGGTTAGCGGTTAGCATGCCTCTGGTTAGCGGTTAGCATGCCTCTGGTTAGCGGTTAGCATGCCCATCGCCCCCCGAGGCCCCACAGACTCCGAACACTAATTGGATCATTGATTTAAAACATCACTTTAACTCATTTGGTCTCAGTTGTAGCTTTAAAGCAGTGATTCAGGAAAAAAAGCCTTTTTGTGTCTTAAAGAATAACTACCTGCACTCTGATCAGAAGAATACTGAACTGTGTTTCTCTAAGAAAATATATTTATAGACAAAACACAGCAGTCTAGCTACAGAAATAACATTTATTGAGAAAAGAGAAAAACTCCAACAAATATTGAAAGCTGTTAGAAGGCGAATAAAAGCTGAAGTGCAAAAGTCGGCGTTACAGGGAAGCGACGAGTCGTCACATCTGGACTTCCAGGTAATGTTCATAATTAGCCCGAAGGACAAATTCAAAATAGGGTTTTGATTTCAAAGCGCTCAGGTCGTCCAGCTCCAGCAGCTCTTTAACGTCAGGCAGGTACGTCTGCAGAGAAACCCCTGAGGGACAAAACAGATCATTCACATTTGAGTAAAAGCATATTTCTGCTCAGCAGAACTAAATGTCTTCAATCAGCAAATGTTGACACGTATTTTGTCCGTCAGTTATTAGAGCAGAGGCGGTAGGTGCATTGGGTTAGCGACGCGCTAGTGGGCGTCTCTCACCTTCCTGGATGAGTTTGAGGAGGATCTTCACAAAGACGCTGTCCTTGGCGGCTTCCAGAGGGTCGTCGGTCCCGTCATCCGAGAACCAGCTGGGAGACACGCAGCGTCATCAACAACAAACAAAAACATCATCGGCGTTCGGCGTTTGATCACAATCTAAAAGTTCAGTCTCCTAATAAAAGACGCCTGGACCAACAAAAACGCCACCGACGGATCTTACTCGTCTCTCCTGAGCGCTTTGCCGAAGATCTCGCACTTCAGCGAGTCGATGTCCCCGGCGTCCTCCTGCAACACAAAACACGCAGGGGGTCACGCGAGTCGTCTTTCAGCAGCCGTCGGACCTCCAGCGGACGGGCGACTCGGAGGGTCACCTCGTCGATGTACTCCAGCAGGTCCAGGGCCTTTTTGAAGTCGTACTCGTTGGCTCGCCTGTTGTCGTCGCAGATGTACAGCTGGGGACGAGGAAAACGCTGACGTGAGCAACACGGCCGTTTCACAAAGGGCGGCAATTCGGTTTCAGAAATGTCAACGTAAAAAACTTGTTTGCGTAAATCCGCCGCAAAATTCAGATGGTTTCTTTGTCTTTAATTGTGACCTCAAACAGGTCTGAGAATAAGAGCGTCCCAATTGACTTAAACATGGCCGCCGGCTCACGGTGCCAAAGAATAAAACAGAAACGCGTTGATCTGGTTTGATGAGAACAAGCACCTGTATGAGGTCGTGAGCGCTGAGCAGCGGCATGGTGTCGGGGTTCTGCTGCTTGTCCTCCAGAAGCTGTCGGGGAAGAGTCTCCTGATGCAGCAGGAAGCGCTCCTGCTCCACGATTTCTGATTGCACAGAAAAACGACACGCTGATTCTCTCTGGTTGAAACCAGGTTGTGAAAAGTGAAGCCAAAGCTTCATGTGTTAAAGATGCATTCTGTGTAGTGACCAGCAGGGGGCGACGCCTCTGGTCCCATAGAGTCTATGGGAAAATTACTAGTAGTCATCCATCCATTATATATATATATATATACTAAATATATATATATATATATATAATAAATACATATATATATAATAAATACATATATATAATATATATATATAATAAATACATATATATAAATAATAAATACATATATATATATAATAAATATATTTTATATATATATATATATATATATATATAAAAATAATGTATTTTTTGTGTATATATATAATATATACACACACACAAAAAAAAATACAACATGGTATTCATTTAGTGAATTAGATGCTTCACAATATAAGGGTGATATTTACAGACACGGTGGCGACTGGTTACAGGACGACAAGTCGCCGCCCTCAGCGAGTCTACGAGTGACCTTCTGCTGGTTTCTCATCAGTAAAAAGTCACCTTTTAGTTTCCGTCCGGATCAAACTAACAAAGTCACATCCCGACTCTTTTTATGTATGTTTGACATATTTTGCTAATAAATGTTTCCTGATTCCTGATTCCTAATGAAGACGTGTGCCAAGGACCTCAGTGCCAAACACACACTTCTGACAGTACGGCAAATAGT